TCCAGTAACAGACTTCATTTATTTGGGCTCCAAGATCACTGCAGATGGAGACTGCAGCCCTGAAATTAAAAGACGCTTGCTCCTTGGGAGGAAAGCTATGGCAAACCTAGATAGCATATTAAAAAGCAGAGACATCACCTACTGAGCAAACTCAGGGAGGCAGTGAAGGACAGGAAGGCCTGGCGCGATATTGTTCATGAGGTCACAAAGAGTCGGACACGACTTAACGACTGAACAACAACACAGTAGGGCCTTTACTCTGGCATGATGTCATGCCCTCCCCTCAGCTGTCCTTGAAGTCCTTGAAGATTCCTCCCCTGGAGAAACAATGCCCCTGTGACTCTGGACACAGAGAAACAACAGAGCATGTGTTTCTCCGGTGCCTGTTAAGACACTTTTTCACCACCCTGTGCTTTCAGATACCAATGCTTCTGTAACATACAATGTTGCCAGGTTCTGTACAGCAATGCTCAAATTTTGTCAGATGATGACCTGTGCTATAAACTAGATTTAATGAGCACCTAGTTCACCATATTAGAGAGCTTTGCAACTTGATATAGTCTTCCACATACTAACCTTTTGTGCTCTACACTCATCTAATCCTCCTACCCCTTCTTTTAAATTCTTATTTTTTATGTATACTTCTGGTTTTTAATTCATGTATCTTTTATATATTCTAGCTTTTCATTATTTTTTTAGATTTTTGTTTTTACATTGCATGTATCATTTAAGTTTTTTTTAATGGCTGTACCCCACCTTCCTTATGCTGGTCTATGACTGTAATAAAGATTTGCTTTGCTTCCTATATTTTGTCATCATGCTCATACCCATGCATTTACATTTCCTAATGTAATATTCCCCCCCCCCCCCGATTTCATTCATTTAGAATATTTTCCCAAAACTCAAATGTGATTCTTCCATTGTCATTGTTCTCTGGAGTTTAATATACAGCTATCACCAACTTGTGGATTCCTGCTTTCATACAAATCCACAATAATTTATATTACACAAATTCATACTTTATGACATACATTTTAGCCCTTTCATTCATAATTAAACCTTTTCTTCTCTGAGTGTATTTATCAATCCTATTTCATTCATATCATCTATTACATCTTTTTCTTTCTTGTAGGTTCACTACCATATAGCATACCTGTTTTTCATTCTTTCATTTCATTTCCTTAATGTTCATTATGATTTTCTCCTCACACATTCAAAGTCACAGTCTTCCATATGTCATGGTCATAACTAGATGAGCCCATAGATACTGAACTCTACCACATATGATAGCTTTTGTGAAGTGAGGCTTTCACATAGTGCTTTTTAGTAAGATAGAGAAGATGTAGACTAGGTTACTAGCCTTTGTCATCTCCATATAACATATAGTTAATGGTAAGGACAATACTGGTAAGGACAGTCCTACTAATAGTAAGAACAATATTGGTTAGTATTTTGACAGTATGGTAAAAGCACAACCACAGCCCAGTTTTAACCTAAACACTCTTCTGAGCAAGCACAGATCTCTAATCTAGAGACTATTTTGCAAGCCAACATAATGTGCCTAGAAGGTGCATATAGTGCATCAACACTCAGGATGCAATACTGAATTCAATATTTTGACCATGTACTGTATGAAAAGGTGCTTCCTTTATTGCTCTTGAACCTACCACCATGTTGTTTTATTAGATAATCCTTGGTCTCACCACTGTCTCCATATCAGATGGGTTTATACCTGTCATCCTTCTATTCACATTATTCTTAAATTTAAAAGTTCCAATCATTGTAAACTTTATTCATAGAGGACTTGTTTTAGATTATTTTCCAAAGAACCCTGGTTCTACTAATTACATACAAAAACAGTAATACCACTGAAAATGGTGAACAGCAGAGAAAGGATAATTTAGAATGCAACATGAAGGAACTTATTTGTTGAGACAGACAAGTCCTTGATTATTTAGATAGATTCTAGTAATGTTGTAAAGAAATTGCTTTTATTTGTGTACCATGACTCAGTTTTTATGTGTTCTTTCTAGGAGTACCGTAGTCCTTGTTCTCTTAGTGTTTTGCATATGCTTCCTGGTGGCATGTATCATGTATCTACATGTCACTCGAGTACAAGTAAGTGACTTGAAATGCTGTGAACTGTTCTTATGGAAAAGGAATATGTGTAGCAATTACCCGGGTCTTGATTTTATTTCTCCTATACTTCATGCCTATAGACAGATAGCTGTTTTGCTGTTTTAATGTAATACTTAATACACTTTAGGGCTTTTATGAATCCTATATTTTCATTTCCCCAAAGAAGCTTTTGTTAAATCTGTTTTGTTATTGGTGAAAATAAAAATTATACCAGTCCTGACACCCAGAAGGAATAATGACTGCATCACACTCCAATAAATAAGTGATAAGTGCTTGAAGAGCTTTCTACTGTGAAACTGAGTTGTGTTTGGGAGACTTCAATAGAAGTTCAGTTTTCTGCTGTCCACTGTAGCCGTTGGCTGAGATCCAGAAATATACTTCTGATATGCTTAACAACTCAGGAATATTATGGGGTTTTTTTAAAACCTTATTTTCTTTAAATAGCAGCTCTTCATATCAGACAGTGATTTTGAGAAATCTCCTTTTCCAAAGATCAATAGTTCAGAAAAGCCAGAGTTCTGCTGAACCTATGAAAGTAGTTTAATGTTCTTCTTTGGAGACATACCATTGTGCCCTAGCAGAGCTTATACACGTAGTCCTCACTTACCAAGTGCCTCATTCAGTGACTGTGTGAAGTTACAACGGTGTAGGTTATAAAGTAGGTTTGTGAACAGTCCTTGAACTTGCAGCTGTTGCAGCAGTCATGCGATCACAATTCAGGCGCTTTGCAACCAGCGCACATTTACAACAGATAGTGTCCCACAGTCACATTTGTGACCTTCACAGCTGGCTTCCAACAAGCATAGTCAACAGGGAAGCCAGCAGGAAGTCACAACTCGGGGTCACATGAGGTCCATGGAATTTAAATACTCATTGAACAGTTTTCGCTTAGCCTCACATTTTGCAGAGAAGGCAGAGAAAGCCCCTGGTAGCCAACTAATAGAGGTCAAGTTAACACCTGTGTTGCAAAGTAGTTAGAGATGGGTGCCCAGTTAGACAGCTTCCCTTCTAATCACAGGTGGAGCAGAAAAGAATTGGCTTGACCATGAGGCTACCAGCTAGGAGAAGAAAACAGCGTAGTGGTGACTTTACCACCAGCATACCTGCCACTCATTCTATCATCCTTCCTGTTGCTCATTTATTGTTGGCAGTCTGTTGCTTGAAAAATATGAATTTTGAAGATTTTTCTCTGTTTGACTTCATACATCCTCTTTCTCTCACACGCAAATAACACATACATATTTTATTAAGAAAATCCATTTAACAGCCATAACTATTCTGCTGTTAATCTTTCTGCTGGTTCCAAATAGTAAATTGCAATCCATTTAATAAAATTAGGCAAAAAACAATATCTAAATAACTTGCTTTAGAAAATTAATCTGAACCATTTCAGTAGCATTTTCAGTATATAAAAATTTTGAGCCTTTAGATGCTGAAAGCTAATATATCTGAAGCTATCTCCAAAATATCAATAAACGCAAATTATCTGATGCTTGTCTATTTTTAATAAATCTGGACTGAGATAGACTTAGAATGCATTATAAGTCTGTTCCATGGGATTCCTTGTGGATGCCAGTAGACACTTTTCAACCAAATTTTCCATGTGTTTGTAACTAAGATTTTTATTTTTATTTTTCACAGAGGCGTAAGCAACAACACATCCCATGTTGTTGTATGCATCCCATCTACCTGTAGACTGGTAGAAACTTGATTAAATTCATTAAATTGTCATGTTTGCTGTTTAATATAATATAATCATAAACATTATCAACCTGTGTCAAAGAAGTATTAAAATATCATCTATCATAAACTGACTGAACACCTTTGAAGTAAAATGTTACTGTAATTTGAACATGATCTGAAATCACAATTGAGTTAATTAAAGCATTATCAAGTAAAGAAGAAAATAATCCAATCTAAAACAAGTTTTATGAGCATAAGAAATTTTTGTGGGGAGATGTAAATGCCAAATATCCTTCAAGTTACATTCTTGCATATAAGCTTGCATCACTTTCCGATTCCGATTATAAATACATGAAGTATTTCTATCAAAATGAAAATCTGTAATAAGATTAAAATCTCCAAGGACTATTAAATGATCAAAAATATAGTAAACAATTTGGAAAACCATCTACAAAATGCATCAGAACATTACTAATTTTATGCCATTTTTGTAAAATTATTATTATTATTATTATTTTCCACTTAAAATATATTGGTTTTGTTTTTCAGTGTTTTCCAGGGTGCCTGACAATACAAATTAGAACCATTTTATGTATTTTTATTGTGATCCTAATTTACTCAGTGGCACAAGGCTGTGTGGTAAGTAATATCAACCTGTAAATAAATTGTTACATCATTTTGTGGAAGGTCCACTCCTATCGGGTGGTAGTGTGGAGGGACACAGAGACAAGCGTTCCTGGTGGCTCCTCCCTTAATTTAGAAGCAAGAATGGCCACCACTCTTATGGCCATCTGGAGAAGAGTTAAAACCCAGCTTTTCCAAAAGGCTTTTAGTGATGAAGGAGCCAGAGGAAGATTTACACCATTATTGTCTGTTATTGCGTAGAGATATGTTCTTTTTCTTATATGTTTTATCCTGCCTTTGATTTTGTATACCACCAGAGACCTGTGGGACAGTTTATAAACAAATGAATACTATCAGTGAGAGATGTACTATCCCATCAGCTTGCTTCTGGCAATGCCTAATACTAACTGAGCTGATTATGGGTTTGAGATAACACACAGGCTGACAGATCCTGCCTCTGCCTTATATTGCAGTAACTATCTTTCTGTGAAAATAGATCTCCAATTGAAGTGATGGCCTAGAAGACCAAAACAATAAACCAATAACCCCTAAACTGTTCTGCATTCTACGTGTTGCTGTTGCTACCTCTCTCAAAGACTAGTTTGTGAATGCTGAAATGTAAGATGAATTAATGTTGTTGCTTCATAAACATAGATCAAAGACTTGAATTAGTCTACTTATTGCATGTAGAACTCAAATATGTTTTTACCTTTATGTACACATCCATGTGCTGGCATATGCCTGTAGATACATTCACACATACAAATGCACTCTATCAGAAATACAGAAGCTCTATACATTGGACTACACTACAACAATGGTGTGATAATGATGTGTAATTGCACATCAGACTATATCACAATATTATATAATGAGATACATATTTCTTCTTATGGTTACATTAGACTTTAAAATTTACTTTCTGCTCATTAATAAAGTTTATTTTTTAAGGAGAATATTGAATTAAATTTGTAGTAGTTTGCTGTTCTCTATGTTCCTTACTTGTCTGTCTTACGTTTTTTAAGAATTTCCAGGGTCATAAATTT